TCCTAGTGTTGCAGGCGTCCATAGGTTACAGTAACCCTTTATCAGACGGGCTGTATGCTCTGTCTGCCACCTTCGTGGTATAAAAAAGAATAGAATAGGTAATTTATATACTAATGCACGCGTGCAATGCCGCGGGAAACAGCTAGCATATTAATAATCATCCAAACATAATTGGATTGGAATTGTAGATTATAAAGTAACGTGTAAATCGAACCCAGTACAATGCCTTTGGCAATAAAATAATATATGTGTGTACTTATTAGGATGGGCGACCTTGTGGCACTGTCCTCATTAATTCATAAATTGAAACTTAATGCTACATAATATAAAGACTATTTTCAAATTCCTAATGAGTCGCTAAACGAAATTAGTATTTATGTGGTGGCAATAAGGTTGAGACGGAGTGATTGGCGTGGGTGAGATATTCAGTGGTAACCATATGTTAACTTATTGAAAGATAGGTGTCCAAATGTTGATCTTGAGTGTAATGTCGCCTACGATTTCTTGAAATTAAGTGTTGATTTAACTTTATAAGCCTATTAGAGACCCACCTCATTTTTACCAAGTTTTTTTTTTTTTTAATAAAATAAAATACAGCATGTCTACTCACTTATAATGTCAATAGGTGAAAGAAATTTGAAAATGTGCTAATTTTTTTTTTAGTTTATAGTAATATTTATATTCTTTATTGCACTTGAAAAAAAAAAACAGATATGATTGGTTTAACAATTTGTTATATATAGCAAGGATGGGCTTATCTCTAAAAGAGATCTCTTTAAATTTAATACATTAATTGTATGTTACTTACTATTTTATTTAAATTACACGAGTATAAAATTTTATATCTATACTGCTTTAATACTTACAAAATTTGTATGTATGTATGTAATATATGAACTAGAAAAAAAAAACCGATTTTTAACAAGTTTTTTCTATTAAAAATGTTAGATTAGGTTTAAATTAAATATGGAATAATAGAAACAATATTAATAATATATATTTTTAAATACATAGAATGTAAACAAGAGTGGAATAGTTTCCAGAAGTCATTGTAAGAAATGAATAAATTAAAATTCTTTATGAACATAGGGCATTTTTGGATATTTATCAACATCAATTTTTGACTGAACTGGACAATCAGTTCAATATGCAGATTCAATTGAGAAAAACTGCAATAAACTTGACTGCTCATGTTTAGAAAATAAAATGCAAAAATCCCTTTCTTCCCAACAATGAATAACAATGAATTTCCACAATTATTGTGTCGATTTGTAATGTCAGTGTTTTGTCACTTTCTTTCAAATTGAGAAATTAACACAAAAGAAAAAGACAGCAATTGAATAGTTTGTGACATTTGATGTTTTTATGAATGGAGGGACCTCAAGTTTATTTGACAAAAATATATTTTATTTCAAGTGCATTAGAACACATTTTGATTTAATTAGATTGCACTGTGATATTTTTGTTGGTGTATTCATGTCAAAAATCATACATTCTATCTATAATCTAATCTAAGAATGATTTAAAAAACTAATAAGATATATATATATATATATATATATATATATATATATATATATATATATATATATATATATATATATATATATATATTTTAGTAAAAACATTAAGACATCCACTGATATGGAAAGATAATAATAAAAAATATTATGTCATCATGACAAAGTACATTTACTTATGTATGAGACGAATTCTAGAAGCAAATGAAACTAAAAACATACGTGTTAAAATGGAAAGTTTAGCACTTAACTTTCACTACCTATCCTGAAAGATATTCATGTAAAAATAGATGGAGAAGATTAATTAAAAATATCATATATTTTGAATCAGCTGTTTATCTCAGCACCTTCAAATGTTCTAAATTTAAAATTTGCTGTTGTACAAATTGTCTATCTATGTACACTAAAAAATATCTAACAATTTAAAAATTTCAAGTTTGTAAGTAAAATTTCATATTTATATAACCTGCAAATCTATTGTGATGTGTAGGAAGCAGTTGTCAATAGTTAAATTATCAAATGACTCAAAACTAACGAAGGTGAGGTTGGGTCTCCCACACAATGTTTCAATAACATATATTCATTTGAAAGGTTTTTCATTTGAATATTTTAATAAATTTACTGGGTACAGAGGAATAACACCCGAGTCCTCAGGAATGGCAACGCATGGGGGGTATCATGGGCGAAACAGTATACTCTGTTATGTCCATGGTACATGGCCATTCTAAGTCATATAAAAAAAAAACATGATGTCAATAAAACAGGAAACACAACATTTAAATAAAATTTAAAAAATCCAAAAAGAAATCAGTTTTTTTTTTCTCTCTTTATTAAGAGACTATTCAATTCACAATTCCTGTAAGGGATTCAATGGTTGCCTACAAGTAATTTCTTTCAGGTGATAAATCTACCATTTTATTAGATATACTAAAACTCTGTATCCTATAATTTAAGATTTTACTTTACATGTTTTTGCTTTGCAAAGTGTTATAAAAACAAACAAACACTCTTTAAAATAACACAACTGTTTAAAAAAAATCTATTGATCATCCACAAATTTATCTCTTGTCCATGTCTACTATGTGTAAGTGTATAGAAATATGTGAAGAATCACACAAGGATTTCTACTTGACAAATATTAATGTAAATGATAAGGATTTATTATAATTAGATGCTCAATAAATATGTCATTACCATAAATGCTACTTCCTACTATTTAACAGTGCTCTTATCAGTCTGGCAACATCTGTGTTATCTGTCACTTTTGAAAAACAAACAATCATCAATAAACAATAATCATAGAATATTCGAATTTATATTTTTAACAATCATCATTTCAGCCATTATACACACATCTCCATCTAGTGGGAGGTCATTCTACACTGCATTTGCCCATATAGGATGGCCACTCAAGAACAGAGATTTTTAACAATAAAACCCAAACTTTCACTGCTATTATTATGCCCATTTCTTAAATAATAAAAAAAATATTACCAGAGGGAGATTTTGTACAAAAGTCGATTGCTTGGGTACCTCTGTCCCATTCGTGTTTCAACCGTGAAGCAGTTGTGTTTGCATGGCTGTGTTTCGGTTTGAATATGGTGGGATATGGCGTAAATTTACTGGGTACAGAGGAATAACACCTGAATGCTCAGGAATAGCAACGCATGGGGGGTATCATGGGCGAAACAGTATACTCTGTTATGTCCATGGTACTGCTCATGTCTGCAGGTAACAAAAGTATAAATGCCTATAAGTCAGAACAATACAGATAGTGTAATGATAAAGAATAATACTGATACCTTTTCATATATGTAAAATATTATATAAGGCAACTATAGGAATAAAACAATATATTCTAAGTACTGGATAATAAAAATTAAAAATAAAAACTATACCAAACTGTGGTACCAAATTAAACCCAGTGTGGTAGGGGTAAAGGGATACACTCTATCAGGTCAACCTCCATACGGTTTCCGCTGGTGGTTAATTCTAGTGGAATTCATCATGATTGGCTAACTGACTGGCTTTCATTGTCATCTATCACCCCTTACTGGTGCCCTGCCAGTGTATACATATAGTGCAGGCAGGATAACCGTTTTATTATCACCCATTAAAAAAAAACTAGTGTGGTAATAGTAATAATAAGGCCAATATTATCTTCTAATGAGAACAGACCCAGTAATGACATGTTTTGTTGATACTTAGAATGACAAACAGTTTGCCTACTTTATTCAAAGCAGTAATTATTGCCTATAAATATAAACAGCACCATAGACCTCTATGAGTTGTTATGGTATTGTTATATGATGTTTCATTGATCAGATGATACAAATTTGCATGTCCTCAGATAGTTCATACTAATATAATTATGTCAATACAGCCTTGGTATTAATGTAGAATGTCATAAGTAATATTATTTACACATGATTAGTTGTTAAATATGAATATTTTGAACAACTTGACAGTTATGCACTACATTTATAATTTTTTTTTTTATAAAACTTTAAATGGCAAACAAGCTAAGGACACACTTGATGGTAATTGGTAGTAACATATAAAAAATATAATGGGCATTACAACAAGTACCATAAAGTAATGATGAAGTATCGGTTTTAAATTAATTATCCAATATGTATATTTATGTAAGAGAATACTTAAGTCATTCAAAATAAATCTATGTTATTTTGTGAATAATGGATTGTTTTGTCTAATAATAAAAAAAAAACTAAATCTGAATACTGGTAATTTTATAATTACGTAAAATATTAAGGTAATTATAAGGAATTGACACAGTTGTACATTATTTAGTATAATCATTTATGTTGATAATTAAGTACACTAAACATAAAGTAAGTAAACTTATCTAAATGAAACAGATTACAGACTTAGTTTCAGCCATAATTTAACTTTTTCAATTTAAGTATTTAGTGCATTTTATACGTATGGAAAGTTATTTAATAAAGATCGGTAATGACATAGACTGATAAGATAAATGTAGAAAGTGCAGTGTGAACATCAGATAAAGTAAAAATGTATTGTCTAAGCGCTTATACGTCATTGCATAGATTAAAATATGGAAGCTGTTTTAGGCAAGGAATGGAACGCCTCCATTCACCTCAAATCAGGAGAATAAACCGTGAAATTGTTGTAGAAAGTAAAAAAAAAATAGATGTAACGGTAGTGGTGCTCTAAGGAGCAAATTTCATCGGATGACAGGCAAGATAGGCAGACATAAGGTCGTAGTCGCATTCCACTCAACTCCCAACTGGTAACTATTTCGCTAATTTTAGAACATACCGCGACGGGAAAAAGTGTCCAAATAAAGATGAAAAACAAAACATTAGACTGCATCTCATTGGGGACGTTCTCGAAACGGCACGGACCATGTCGTGAGGCCACGACGCGATTTAGGGTTAGGCAATTTTCAATCACTTAATACACTAGAATGGCACGTTTCAACTATAATTGCACATATACCTTTACTTTCAGCGGTTTCGGTAATCTCTTTCACGTCATCAACCATCTTGCTGGATGACAGTCACTCACTAATCACAGTAAACACTTTTTATTCGAACATATTTCGAAAACTCATACTTGATTCACTATTTTCAGACAGCCAGCCAGCGATCTATACTACAAGTCTACAACACTTCGTTCCGTTCACTGCCAATGACGTGCGGCTTTAGAGCGATGAGATGGCGATCGCGGACGACACACGCGAGCAACAACTCTGTGCTCTGTGAGCAACCTCCAAAACGAATGTCAAATAACTTTCATTGCTTTTTATTATAATTGTAACAATGATATATTTATAATAATTATTGAAATTTTTTATTAAATAAATATTGTATTTCTATTATTTTTGTAGTAGTTATTATATAACTACCATAACAGATGTTTTGGTAGAATTGTGCAATTGAGTCAAACAATTTATTAAAAAATATTAAATAAATGACATTAGTAAATATTACATTGCTTGTTTTACTCTTAATTGTATGTGATTTGATTTAGGAAGCAAAGCAATGTAAAACATAATGTGCATACCAGTAAATACATGTAGCACCATCTTGTGTCTACTATAACAACTAAAATCGGAATTAATTTATTAAGAGTAATTTTTTGGCACTTATTGGTTTATATTATTCCAATTGAATTTTTATAATAATAAACAAGATAAGTAAAATACTCATAAGTTTCTAATTTTTCAAAGTTTTATGCGTGTATTATTACGCCATCTGTTGATATTTGTTCGCTACAAAATTTGAAGGTATAAGCACAAGCGCTACTGCTATTTCAAGTTTCATTTAGTTTTATTCATTTGATAGTAGATGGCAGTATTTATACCTACTTTTAAAAGACGAAAATTTCGTACAAATGAGAATTTTAATTAAAATGTTTGTTCATTTTAATGCATGTTTACGCTTTTCATTCCATTTTCTTTCATATAGTTTTATTATTTTGGACAACAATAAATTTTATAGTTTGATTTAGTAGTTGCCCTTACAACAGGCCAATAGGCCATAGGTGGGGGTAGGAAAGGGATTGTTAGTAATGCGGTCAACCAGTTCCATTACTAGCAATATACCCTCCACGTGGTCCCCCTGGAAACTATTGTGTTAAATTTCAAGTGTAATCATCACGATGGGTTAATTGACCTGCATCTTCATTGTCATCTATCATTCTGTTAACATGTTACTGGTGATCCGCAAGCGTATACCGATACCGCAGGCAGGGCTACCATTTCATTATCACCCATTATTAAAAAAAAATAGGTCATAGATAAAAAATTGTATTGTTAACGTTAGATAGTTTATTTTTGGTATACTATTTAATTTCATTGTTGCAAGTTGTCTGAGGGTGGTGTCCTTGTGGATGTAGCACAGGTTGTCTTAGTTCAGCCATCTGTCTCCACAATACATACACTGAGTTTCCTTAAGTAAATAGTTTATTCATACGGTAATGTGGAGAATTAATAAATATTTTAAAATTGAAAAAAAAAATGGAATGGTGGCGGGTTTTACTTTGGTGGTTTTTGGTTTACCATGATGCTATTTTAATCTATAATCTTGCTTACCATTTTTTACTAACGAGCCGTTAGACTGTTTTTTTTCTTTATTCTAGATATAAAAGAACGGAGAACTTGCAATAACGGCTGTGCAAAGTTGCATCCAACTTATTGGAGCAGTTTTGGCGTGATATTGGAACAGGTGTACTGATAGCCAAAAATTCTTTTAAGAATATTTCTGTTCCGTATTATTATTATTTTTTTTGCTATTTTTTTATTAAGAACCTTCATATCAATTTTTCTTAAATAAATTAGTAGGTATCTCCTATGTGTCCTCCTAGGGGGAGAAAGGATTGTTAGTAATGGGGTCTAATTGACCCATTGCTAGCAATACCCCCTATGAGGTCGACCTCCACGCTGTTCCCTCAAGAAACATCGTGGTTAATTCTAGTGGAATGAGTAACGATGGACTAATTGACCTGCTTTCATCGTCACCTATCAACCCTCACTGATGCCCCGCCAGCGTATACCGATAGCGCAGGCGGGGTTACTATTCCATTATAACCCATTAGATTGTATCTTCCTATGTAAGATATTTGTTTTAATGGATGAAAATGGAATGGTAACCCTGCCTGGGCTATAAGATAGATGAGGACAAAGCGGGTCAGTTGACCCACCAAACCGAAGTATCCAGTGGGAACCACTAGGATATCGACTTGACAGGGTATATTGCTAGCGATGGGGCTATTCATCTTCATTATTAACAGTCCTTTACCCTCCTCCATGTAAGATTACACTGGGAATTCCTGAATCCTTGGTAAACGACAACATAACCTTCAAGAAAAGAGCATCCTATTCATTTTTAAAAGACCGGCAGCACACCTGCAATGCCGTTGGTGTTGCGGGTGATCATGGGCGGCGGTAGTCACTTACCATCAGGTGAGCCGCATGCTAGTTAGCCCCCAGTATTGTAAAAAATAGATATATCATAATATTTTAAATGGAAATACCCCTCTTTAATATGACAGTTACACCTTTTTTATATACCTAGATAAAAATGGTTGAGTGTGAACAAAGTCGCGTGGTTGCCTTTAGTCGTGTTATAAAGAGAAATCTAGGCCATCCTTGCAACCTTCATGTAAACAATCTACACCGGCGTGCCTCTTCCTCAGGATATGCGTCCGTTGAACCAATTCGATGACCAGATAGTGTTGAATTTATTGATTAAAAATTTCGAGTTATTAATAATAAGCCAATATTATTTTAATTTGTATACGTTATGCACATTTTTTAACAATGTTTATGTATCATTTATATACACGCAGAGCTTTGAGAGACGAGATGCCAGTGGCGTAACAATAGGGTGGCAGGGCAAAATGCCACGGGCCCCCGACTCAAAAGGGCCCCGGCTCAAGAGGCCGCGAGCTCAGAATTTTTTGTTTTTTTACATTGTATCTGAGTATTTTGTTTTACTTGAAAAGTATTTTTTTTTTTTACTGATAGGGCCCTATCAAAAGAATTTGCTACAGGCCCCAAATGGTATAGTTACGCCACTGCGAGATGCTGTGAAGAAGACTTATGACTTATACTCTCGGATGTAGTCGAGATAATTGTCGGAAACACCAAACATAGCAAGTACATAAAATTTCCTGCTGTACATATATATTGACAATTTTAGCTAAATTGTATTTATAAAGATGGATGCATAAGTAAGGATTTTAATGACGAATATACCTATAATGGTAATTTCCCTTGCATTATCGGTTTCTTGTGGTGAGGCAGCAGTGTTCCAGTGAGGATAAAAACAGGTCTGTTGGCCCACAGTGGCGAATTCAATAAGATTTAACCACGATTATTTCCAGGGAAACCGTATGGAGGTCGTTAATTGCTGGCAACGGTACTGCTTACTTTGCGATACTAAAAGTTTTTTCTCCTCACCTAGTTATGTATGTAGATAGGTATCGCCAGTGAAGTTTTGAGGAGTTTTTTGCACCCACAGTCACTTTTTATCATCACACCGCTCGTCATCGACAGGTAATTCATTTTCACACGCTTGAACTTACGAGTAAATGGTCGCGTACAGTGCGGTTTCAGAGAAGTTTTCTCCAAATGCTCAGGCTATAGAATGAACTCTTCAAAGCTGGAATGGTTCTTCAAAAAATGTGTATTAAATTTTCTTCAGGTTTGGCAACGCGCATGTGACACCCCTAGTATTATATATAGGCGTTTAGAGGCTCCAGTGACCATGTACTATCAGACAGGCTGTATGCTTGTTTGCCACATTTGTAATATAAAAGAAAACAGTGCGTAAGTCAAAATTTGAGAAACTGAATAAAATATTATTCTTCTGTTTCAATTGTATTATTTTTTAACAATATTTTTTAGTACAGGGCAATTGTTTAAAATTAAGATTTTTATTAGTTTAGGTGATCAAATCAAAACATGAAAACTGCTAGAAGATTTTGTACAAAAAAAGGCAGCAGCGTCTCACTTAAAATATCACCAAGGCCTAACTGTGGTTGCTAATCTGCCTGCCAAACGTGACAACTACTGGCAAAACTCCCAATAAGGAGTGGCATATGTTTAGGAGTGGATAGTTAACGACTGATGCGATGTAGTTCTTTCACAGATAATAAGTACTGAAGATTTATGAAAAATCTACTGTTCATTCAAAGGTGCCAATCTTTTATTAAGCCAGAACGTATTTTTTTTCTTTTATTATAATATTAGCTTTTACCCGCGACTTTGTCTTCATGACTAGGATATATTCAATAACCGACATAAGAAGTAGCCTATAACTAGAGAATACAATCCCGGGATCATTGTCAATCAATTGTAACATAAGATTTTAATCTTATTCTTATTTCAACCTTCTACCAAAAACTTCATTTATATTAAGAGTAGAAGATTGATGACATCATTTTATTTGTTGCATCTGTGGTCATTAACAAATATTTTTAATTATTTGTTTTAATTTATACAATAAATTTATATATAATTATTAAAGCTGCATATGTAAGGGTACGTTGCCTTTATCATTCGGGATTCCAGGATTTTTTTTGATGGGTGAAAATGGAATTGTAACCCCGTCTGCGCTAACGGGATAGGTACGCTGGCGGAGCACCAGTGAAGGGTGATAGATAAGAATGAAAACAGGCCAGTTAGCCCACCATGATGAATTCATCAGGAATTAACCCTGATAGTTTCCAGGGAGAACCGCGAGGAGGTCGACCTGGTTGGGTATATTGCTAGCAATGGGATTCTCAGTATCCATTACTAACAATCCCTTTCCCCCCGGGATCCCGGGATTGTATTCTCTACCTATAACTTTATTCATCCTATAACTATATCGTATACACGTACTAATGTGTATACCAAATTCCATAGTAATTGGTTAAGCCGTTAAGGCGTTCAGAGGTAACAAACAAACAAATTAACTTTCACATTTATAAGGATTACATAATTACGATAGTATGCCACAAAAAAACCGACTTCAAATGTGGCAAAATCAGTTATTTTAAATTAAACAATTAAATTTCTATGCGATCAATCCCTAAGTATATTATTTTAGGTAAAAAAAGAATTTTCCAAGTCAACTTTAAAAAAAAAACAAACGAATTAAGCATCTTCTTCTTTTTGAAGTCGGGTGAAAATACAAAGAAATGTATTATTTAAGAAACAGTCTTTATTCAGTTAATATATTCAATAAGTTTATTTATAATTTTATTTTTATTAAATTTTTTTATATCACAGTGGTGGCAAATAAGCATACAGCACACCTGATGGTAAGCGGTTACCGTAGCCTATGAACGCATACAATACCAGGGGTATTACGCGCGTTTTGTCGACCCTGAAGAAATGTCTTTACCCCCCTTTTAAAGTCCCCATGCTGTAGTCTCTTGAGAAAAACTCGGCAGGAAGCTCATTCTATAACCTGAGTGTTCGTGGGAATTTCTGAAACCGCGCTGTACGCGACCATTTAGGCTGTAGAGTATGAGGGTAAACTCCCCGTCGATGGCGATATATTATATAACTTAAACCACTAAGGTTTGTCTGTAATACAGTACAATAATTATTTTATATATGAAAATACTGTCTACGTTAAACAATCTAAAATTCTTTTTTAATACGACGAGAAGTTGGGGAAGTAGTCTCTCTTAAACCGGCGTCCTCAGACGCTGCTCAAGTTATACCTACAATAATATTGTAACGTCTACGTATCTAATATAAATGACCTCCGTAGTACAGTCTCAAAATTGATTACTTCGCATTAATGAAGTTCCAGGTTCAATTCTCGGTCAGGTCAATTTGGAAAGCAAGCTTTCTAATTTAACTTTTGTTAGTGTTTCGGCTCTGAACAATTGTCCCAAATGTTCTATGTACTGAATAATGAGATATAGTAAAAATTCAATGTCATGGTATTTTATTTAATAAAAATGATTCTTAATGGAATGATTAGAGGCATTTTAAGGCTATTAATATAATGGCAAGCTACTGATAGAGCAACTACCTGATAATGAGTGGTAACTGTCACATACAGACATGATAAGTATCATGAACATGTTTTGCTATTTTCTGAGTACTGTAATGTTTTTTAATGGGCGATAATGGAACGGTAACCCCATCTGCGCTGTCGATATACACTGGCGGGGCGTCAGTGAGAGATGGTAAGTGAGGATGAAACAACGATGGTTTCCAGGGGGAACCGTGTGGAACTCGACCTGATAGGTTATAATGCATGCAAAGGGGCTATTAGATCCTTATTACTAAAAATTCTTTCTCTCCAAGACTATGATGTTATTGCGTATAATTTGACTGTTGTATCCCACTCTTCAAACTGGGACACAGTCATACAAGCATAATCGCTGGGAGGAAAGGGATTGTTAATAATAAGTTTTAATAGTTCATAGCAATATATAGCAGGTCAACCTCCACGCAATTTCCCTTGGAAACCATCGTGGTTAATTCTTGTCAAATTATTCACGATGGGCCAACTGACCTGCCTATCATCCTTCACTGGAGCCCTATCAGTGTATACAGATAGAGCAGGCGGGGTTACCATTCCATTTTGGTTTCTTAATAAACACGAGTGGAACAGAGGTAGTTTTATTTTTAATGGATGATAATGGAATGGTAACCCCACCCGCGCTATCGGTATACACCGGCGGGGCACCAGTGAAGGATGATAGGTGGAGATGAAGTAGGTCAGTTAGCCCATCGTGACGAATTCAACAAGAATTGTTCACGATGGTTTCTAAAGGGAACCACGTGGAGGTCGACCTAATAAGGCATATTGCTAGCAATGGGGCTGTCAAACTCCATTACTAACAATCCCTTTCCCCCCGAACAGAGGTAGTCAAATAGAGGACTTTTTTATAAGTATAATGATAGTTATTAAATTATTTATTGCTTTTAACTATGATAATGCTATTGTAATAGTTAATCTTATTATGACGTCATTCTAACTAGTTACTGTTTAGTCATGTAGTAACTATTATAATGTCTTATAATAGTTTACATATAAAAAAGTAATTGGCCGTCCTACATAACTTGTTTTCTTTAATTCTACTTCCGATTGCAACTGGCTGGAAATCTCGAGGTATTTACAAGCGGATGTAGACCGTGCAAGTGTGACGTCATTATGTTTGCTGGCCATAAACGCGTCAAGTTATGGCATTATATTATTTGTGGTATAAGTACAGTTTTTTTTTTAATATAATTTAATGAAAATTATGTGTTTTGTGTAATTTATATGTGTAGTTTGTATTATTCTTTGTGTGTGTGTGTGTATATATCTATATATAGCTGACTCGGTAAACGTTGTTTTACCATATACATTATTTCTAAAACTATACATGAAAATATATCGTACTACAATTATTATATTGAATTGTCATCTTGCAACGCAATTGCGACATATAAAAATTGCGATTAAACAACAGGTATTAATCGTAAAAGCGTGAAAATTTTAATTTGTATGTATATTTCAATGCTAAATTATAATAAAATAAAAAAAAATTCTCAAAAAAAAATAAAAAAAATATTTATCTTACGAATATGTTTATACAATGTACACAAATTGTATGACTGTCTATTTTTTATTTTTAAATATCATTCAATTTACATAAAAGAAAGAATTTGCTGGAAGAAATCTCTAAGCTCACCTTTGTACATTATGTTTAAAATTAATTGTTCTTAACAATATATTTGTGTACAATAAAGAATAAAGAAAGAATGAAAGAAAGACAATATTATTTTTATGCAACTTAGAATGCCAAATTTGCTGACGGTCCACGTGATGGAAAGTGGTGACCGTTGCCTATAGACATGAGAAAATGTAAACAAATTGAAAATTTATTCAACCATAGCTGATGCCCAATAGTGGTTGTAATACTAATTGATTGAATATTACGATCTCAAACATAAGAGTGTATCGCTGAGTTAGTTTAAAAAAAAAAAACTTGGTTATGTTTTCAAATAATCTATAATTCTCTTAAATAGTACCTGAGTACTTCCATAGTACATTTATTTATTTATTCATTAGTACATGTATATGTACATGGCGGATTTAATGCTAAAAGCATTTTCTCCCAGTCAATTTTAAGAAAGTGTCAGAATACTCGAATACTAGTAATGTTTTTGTTTTATACAACTCAGAATGGCAAACAAGCTGACGGCCCACCCGATGGAAAGTGGTAACCGTCGCCTATAGACATGAGCAGTACCATGGACATAACAGAGTATACTGTTTCGCCCATGATACCTCCCATGCGTTGCCATTCCTGAGGACTCAGGTGTTATTCGTCTGTACCCACTAAATTCACGCCGTATCCCACCCTTCAAACCGAAACACAGTCATGCAAACACAACTGCTTCACGGTTGAAACACGAATGGGACAGAGGTACCCAAGCAATCGACTTTTGTACAAAGTCTCCCTCTGGGATAATTGATACACATAAAAAAAATATGATGAGGTAATATTTATAATAAGAATTGAGCACCTCCTTCTTTTGTTTTAGTCTGTTGAAAATACAAACTAATAATTAATAAAAATACCTACTAAAAAGGTCAATGTTCTTAACTAAACTATCTAAAATTGAATAGCACGATAATATAATCATGTTTAGTACATGTTTACACGCACGCAGCACAAGTAAAGCGAATAACAACGTGTGGTTTGAAGATTAGCAATAGAGAGTTCAATGTTAATAGTAAGAACTGATTTCAAATAAAACTAGTCGAAACAACCGTATGTACGAATACAACATCGCATGTTGAGCGATTAAAAATTTGCCGTATTTTTTTTAATGGAGGCTATCAATTTGTATTTTTTTATATTTGTTACGCCATAATTTCGTTAGTTGTAAACCGATTTGCTATATTAGTATCTCATCATTATTATTATGTCAGCCGTCAACTGTCCCCTGCTGATTATTGGCCTCCCTCATAAGTTAAAAGGGTTTTGTCAATAGTTGCCATGCTTAGCAGGTAGGTCGGCAATCTCAGTCAGGCTTTGTTGATGTTTTAAAAGGACCATTACCACCCATTCTTCGACCATTAAGTTCTCTTAGTCGCCTCTTACGATACATTTTATGCCGGGACCACTCATATATACTAAACACCTACAATATTATTAATATTATTGTTACATTAACTTATTTAGTTGTGATTTTCTTACTTATATTTTATCTGTTAAAAAGGTTACTTAATTTTATTACGACTTGGTTTTTCTGAATTTGGCACATTTGAAATGAAATGTATTAAAAGTATATTTTTAAGAATAATTAATATATGTAAACTATAATTTACGATGTAAACCTACATATGGAGTGTAGATATCGATAACTTGTTATTTGTTAATAAGGTACTTAATTGACATAATAATTCAAGTAAATGATTCATACTGAAATTCTTTTATAGAGTACTTATTACTCACATACTTTGTAGTTAAATATTATGACTCTAGGTAGAGGTACTGTAATACCTTTTAAAAATTTATATTTTTTTTTTTTGTAACATATTTTACGTTATCTTTGCCAATTTTAAATTGAATATAACTATTAAAAAATTACCCTACTCGATTGAGTTTAATTTTATTTAATTCACAAATAATGTCATATTATATTTAATGTTATTTAATTTAAAGCTTATTTCTTTATTAATTGCAATAATTATAACATTATAATAGTAAAATTGCATCACAAAAATTTTGTCACTACACAGAATAAGTATGAAAGGATAAAGTAATAAGTAATTGACATTAAAATTAACTATATTTTTAATTTTGAAAATTGTGCAATAAAGTGTAAATATAAAAAAAAAAAATAACTTGATTGCACATTTGTAGAAAAAAATCTTCATCAATCATATTAATCTTTGTAGTGCAATGTGTGAAGGTTTTAAATGAACATTCACGCAAAAATGCGTTAACAACCGATCGATTTAAATCAGCTTTTAATCTAACAACTCTCGTTACTAATTAATTTACATTCAAACTGGCCGGGTAATACCCAGTTGTTGCTCCACTCGCTTGCACACTTGCTTGACTGACTGGCCAGTTTCGCGCAGTTAACGCTCGACTTTCGTGTGGGATTGCTCGATGCGGATAGTAGCTGTCAAAAATTGGCGGTAAAATTACACGCGGTCATCGTAATTGATTTGTTTTTTTTTCGTGTACTTACCACCCAATATGAAATATTGATGAGTGATTATATATAATTCTTGAATGTAAAATTTAAGTTGTTAATAGTTAAAAAACCTCTGACTTTATTAGTAATGCAGTGAAATAGTGAATTTAGTGAAAGTGTCGAAGGATTCAATATTTAAAAAAAATGGTGCCGTCGCGGTATTTTTACAGCGGATGTCTATTATTACTAGCTGTTGTAATTGGTGAGTTGTAATTGTAATTAACTTGTTACTTTGTATACATTTTTTTTATTTATACCATTTTTATTTTATTTTCTGAAACTATTAGATTTGTATTGGATACATATATTTATGTAAGAAATCTACTTAATTTTAAAATAATGCAGGGACAAGAAAATGTATGTAATATTTTAATAAGTACCTACCAAGTAAATTTAATAACTTAGTCGTTGCATAATAATAACTTAAACATAAAAATTAAATACTAATTTAGATTCAATAGTTCAACATCCATTGATTAAACGACCTTAATTTTAGTGACCTTACAAACTTACCAGCCTACATTTTTATATCGACACCTATTTATCAATTTATTTCTACGATTTAAATAGACGTGTACAAGATAAATATCACGTTTTCTTATTTATTACTAAACAATTAAATACAACCAAAAGTATTAATAAGGTAATTTCATAATGTATTACTTAAACCTTATAAATAAATAGGCATCATTTAGGTAAAATATAGTCATTTACCTGTCTCAACATTCTTTACTTAACGATTAATTATCGTCATGATACACCATAAATTATGCAACGCGAAAATATAAATTTGTAATCGATTTTATACAAATATACTTTCGATTCAAGAATTAATAATAGCTCAATTTATTTTACCTCAATGTAAGCTGCTTTGAGTTTTATTTGTAGATTCGAAGAAAGAAATAAGTTTTTTATTATAATCTTGTCAAAAGACTAGTCACTAAATTATAATATCAAACCTACATCACCATAGAAAAAATACCGTTTCCATGAATTCTATGTATCTATCTATATAGTTAACTGAATTTAAAAATTTCACTCTAAAACAGCAAAAAAGTTGTTCAACACAATGAATATTCATTTATTTTATTGTGTTGGTATTACTAGGTGGTTGCATAGATTTTACTGTAGTTTTGTGAAAATAAGGGCAGTGTCGACTCTTAAATAATGTAGTAGTAATTTTGTCTCCATTTTTTTTAAATTAACATGAAAAAAAGGCACGTTTTGGCGGGAAATGACGATGTCGATTGCAGACTTTTTGTTTGAAATGCCTCTATCTACGTTTATATTAATGATACGATGTTGAATAGCAAATATTAATACACGCAAGTTATCTGCACGCAAATGCACAATGTGCGTAATAGTTTTAAAGAGAAAATGTAATTTGGTGGATTCTATATGTTTTGTACTATTTAAAATATGTAATTTAAACAAGAATAAAGAAAAAAATTCTATTTTCTGATGGTAAATGATTACGGAAGCGTATGACTACTACAATACAAAATATCTTTGATACGTCAATAGATAAACCCCATGTACTCGTAAGGTCTTTTGAAAAAAAAATTACTATGTTTCTTTTGTAACGGACTTCAAAAAAGGAGATGGTTTTCAAACCATCGGTTGTATTTTTTATGTTTGTTATCTTAAAACAAAGATATAATTTTTTTTTTATCTAAAAAGATACTTTCAAATCCGTTCCATACAAATATTATCAAAAATCGGTCTAGTAGTTTAGTTTTAAATAAAAAGAATTGATTTTACCATCATTGAAGTCTGTTTTTTTGTGGAACACAATTTTAAATTATATTGTTATGCAACTTGGAATTTCGAACAAGTTGGTAGCCACCTTATGGAATGCGGCAACTCTCGCTTATAAGACTGGTATAATTGACGTCACAGAATATACTGTGACGACTCACAGCCATAGTTGAGCTTTACAAGATAACAGTAGGTCACGATGAGTATTTGTCTCTTCTTTTCCCATGGCATATTTGATAGTAGTTTAATATCGTCATACCAGTCTTTAACTATCAACTGCTTAACATAAGCCTCCTAGCGGAAGCTTAGTAGTTGCCATTAATGGTAGCGGAATTAAACAAAATAATTCTTATCAAATAACCATAGGAAGACTTTGTACAAAAGTCGTTTGCTTGGGTACGTCTGTCCCATTCGTGTTTCTACCGTCAGTTCAGTTGTGTTTCGATTTGAAGGGTGGGATATGACAGTGAATTTATAGGGTACAGAGAAATAACTCCGTAGTCCTCAGGAATGGCAGCGCATGGGGAGTATCATGGATGAAACAGTATACTCTGTTATGTCCATGGTACTGCTCATGTCTATAGGCGACGGTTACCATTTTCGATCAGGTAGACCGTCAGCTTGTTTGCCATTCTAAATTGCATAAAAAATATGGACTTCCGCAACATAACACCTAGTTCAGTAAATTATTTATAACTGTCTTTGTAATTTAGAAGCGCAATAAAGAATATGAATAATGATTCACAATAGTCAATCAGGTTTTAGAATTTTTCCATTCGATATTTACGATCGTTCAGTGAAAGCGGCTTTGCATTATAATCCGGTTATAAATAAAAAAAAGGTTATTTCCTTCAATTATCGATTTGTTATCTATAATGAGGTATTGTAAATTTTTCCAGATGCACATCTTATGCATGTATGCTCTAATTTCGAAAATTTTAATTTGCATTTTATACAAAAGTAAATCGAAATGGCGTCATTTTATGAAAGTTTTTGTACTAAAAAGATTGAATATATTTCTCAAAGAAAAATAGATTGAACATTTTGTTCGGCAAATTAGAAAACACTGTAAGAAACACTGGGCTGGTCAATCACCAGCCAGCCCAGCCCATATCTTAATTCAGTTTACAGCTACAACCAACCAACCACCCAGTAGTCCAGTCCAAGCCACAATTATGTTTTATGTTACCGTCAGGAACAGAAATATTTGTTTGTTTGTTTATTTATTATTATTTTTTTAATTTAGACTTTAATTGAACTGAATTTAATTTAATTGCATTCTATTTGTATACTATTTTTTGTTTGTTTTGTTTCTTTTCTTCTTGTTTTGTACACTACTGTGTGAAATTATTTCTTTCTTTCTTTCAAATATGAAAATTGCAAATTTGTGCAGTAGTTTTTTGCATTATGTTGGAACAAACATACATAGAGACACATAAGATTTCTAAAAAATATTGTTTTTTTTTTATTAATTGATGACGACGAAATAATAACCTAGCTTACGCTATCGGTGTACGCTGGCAGGGCACCAGCAAGAGATGAATAGGTGAGGATAAAAGCAAGTCAGTTAGTTCATCGTGACGAATTCAAGAATTAACCACGATAGTTTCCAGGAGGAACTGCTTAGAGGTCAACTTGATAGAAGCTATATATTACTAGCAATGGCGATATCAGACCTCGTTACTAACAATACCTTTCCCCCCAAAATTATTGTTCCAAAACAATAATTTTATTTACACATATATATTATATTATACACCTCATGTTATATCTTCTGAAATACAAGTATCTTTCATGTATAGAAATTGCCTAGTTATGTTTTTTTTATGTTAGTAAGATTATGTATGTGTGTGTAGGTATATGTATGTGTTTAAGGAAATTTATTAGAATTTCTCTGATTGAATGAAAGAAATTGTGATAAATTGAATGTCTACTTGCGAAATTTTTACCATTTATTACCTATATCGTGTATTCATAGAGGATGATTGATATTTATCAATAGTTATTGATCATTGAATGGATTTACACTTTCACTGATCAAAGACTGGTTCTGTATAATTATCATTTAATTATACTGAATAGAATATTAATTAATAGTTATCGATGACAAATTAATCACTCATTAGCTTTATTCCGTGGCTATACTTGTTTTCCGTACTTTCAAGAATATAGTCATCAAGGATATACTGTGACACCCACGGTTCCATTCATGTGTTATCACTTCTAATGACTGAGGCGACATGTCTTTAGGATCAGAGACTACATTAATTGACTTATTTCATTTTTTATTCCCATCGTTATTGTGCTTTTCACATGAAATGGTTTCATGGCCAATAAATATTTTCTATTCTATTCTAATATGCTATATCCCATAGAAATCGTTATAGCCATTAACGAATTAAACAGTGGTGACGTCATATCGTTACTATTTCAAGGCGGGGGCGATGACGTGAAGGAATGTGTATTTAGGCTCTCTATTTTATGTCCGAAAGACCTTAGACGTTTGGTAAGATTATTTACCGACTAATAATGACCAGTGATCTTCGTGGTGCAATGGTAGACATATTGCTTTGCGTAAATTAAAGTCCAGGTTTGGTTCTTGGTTGCGTAATATGGGAAATAAATATTTGTAAATTACATCAGGACTGGGTGTTCTGGGATATACTACAGAAGTCTAGTTTCTCAAAACTCAGGGTGTCCCAGTTTAAAAACCATACTAATGATCTGTTGCCGCAATTTATTATTGGGATAAATACGTTTACAAAAAAGGGGAAAAATATAATTTAAGATATTACTCCAAAAAAAAAAACACCGACTTCGATCAAAATCAGTTATTTTGATTTAAAACTGAACTGTAGATCCGATTTTGATAAAATTTCTATAGGGCCAATTTGAAAGTATAACCTTTTATATAAAAGAATAATTTTCCAAATCGACTAATAATCGATGAAGGTCTAAGGTAATAAACATAAAAGGAACAAAACCAAATTGGGAACTTGCTTATTTTTTTAAGTTGGTTTAAAAAATATAACAAACAATATGTGAACAACACGAGAGATATCACAGAATAGTAATAAATTTATACGAATTAACAGTCGCTTCCTTTTTGAAGTCTTTAAAATAACCACCACACTCTAGTTGTGTGATGGTCACCATCGGGCGTCGAACATAACGGTAACCCACACTTGCACCCGACCACCTGACCTACAATGCCCTGACCGGCAACATAGTTATTCCTTACATTTTATATTACTCTATGTATTGTACACTCAGCAATAAATAATTTATGGTCAGAGTTATAAATCAGAAAATACATTTCACTATTTTATTATATTTATAACTAGTTTTTGCCCGTGACTTTGTATGCGTGCATTTTGAAAGTAGGTAATAACATTTGATCTATCAAGATGAAACATACACAAGAAATTAACGTTAGAACTTCTT